CAGAAGCTGTTGCTTCTGCTGATTTTGCTGCAACTTGGACCAAATTTGCCGAATAAGGTGGAAATCGATAGTAAAATAGAATTGGATGTGAAGAAATTCAGTGTCAGCTTTAACTGATTTTATATAGAAATACCATAAAAATGTGCAGTATAGCTAATAATTTCCTCAAAACTGCCTTGTTAAAGCTGAGCTGCTAGTGACTTCAGTTTTAAAATGTGTGGACACAGCTGACACTCAATTAATGCACTTTGCAGTTAACATATATCTGTAATTGGTGATTGGTCATTGTCCTCATGCTCTGAGAGTCCCCCTGATATGCAGCCACCACAGTCTACACCCCACCTTCCAGGATCCTGGACCATTCCATCATCCACTGCCAAATAAATGGTGCCTGGCACAGAGAATGCAAAGGCTGGCTATTGTCCAGGCCTCCTACAGGATTAGTTCTCAGCTATTTTAAATATAATCCTTGGGCTTTCTATTCTGCCCTGACACAGGCGGGCAGAGCACAAAGACAGAAATATAGATCAATGGAACAGAATAGAAAGCCCAGAGATAAATCCACGAACCTATGGTCACCTTATCTTTGACAAGGGAGGCAAGGATATACAATGGAAAAAAGACAACCTCTTTAACAAGTGGTGCTGGGAAAACTGGTCAACCACCTGTAAAAGAATGAAACTAGAACACTTTCTAACACCATACACAAAAATAAACTCAAAATGGATTAAAGATCTAAATGTAAGACCAGAAACTATAAAACTCCTAGAGGAGAACATAGGCAAAACACTCTCCGACATAAATCACAGCAGGATCCTCTATGACCCACATCCCAGAATTTTAGAAATACAAGCAAAAATAAACAAATGGGACCTAATGAAACTTAAAAGCTTTTGCACAACAAAGGAAACTATAAGCAAGGTGAAAAGACAGCCCTCAGATTGGGAGAAAATAATAGCAAACGAAGCAACAGACAAAGGATTAATCTCAAAAATATACAAGCAACTCCTCCAGCTCAACTCCAGAAAAATAAATGACCCAATCAAAAAATGGGCCAAAGAACTGAACAGACATTTCTCCAAGGAAGACATACAGATGGCTAACAAACACATGAAAAGATGCTCAACATCACTCATTATCAGAGAAATGCAAATCAAAACCACAATGAGGTACCATTACACACCAGTCAGGATGGCTGCTATCCAAAAGTCTACAAGCAATAAATGCTGGAGAGGGTGTGGAGAAAAGGGAACCCTCTTACACTGTTGGTGGGAATGCAAATTAGTACAGCCACTATGGAAAACAGTGTGGAGATTTCTTAAAAAGCTGGAAATAGAACTGCCATATGACCCAGCAATCCCACTTCTGGGCATACACACCGAGGAAACCAGATCTGAAAGAGACACGTGCACCCCAATGTTCATCACAGCACTGTTTATCATAGCCAGGACATGGAAGCAACCTAGATGCCCATCAGCAGACCAATGGATGAGGAAGCTGTGGTACATATACACCACGGAATATTACTCAGCCATTAAAAAGAATTCATTTGAATCAGTTCTAATGAGATGGATGAAACTGGAGCCCATTATACAGAGCGAAGTAAGCCAGAAAGATAAAGACCAATACAGTATACTAACACATATATATGGAATTTAGAAAGATGGTAACGATAACCCTATATGCAAAACAGAAAAAGAGACTCAGATGTATAGAACAGACTTGTGGACTCTGGGAGAAGGCGAGGGTGGGATGTTTCAAGAGAACAGCATCGAAACACGTATATTATCTAGGGTGAAACAGATCACCAGCCCAGGTTGGGTGCATGAGACAAGTGCTCGGGCCTGGTGCACTGGGAAGACCCAGAGGGATCGGGTGGAGAGGGAGGTGGGAGGGGGGACTGGGATGGGGAATACATGTAAATCCATGGCTAATTCATTTCAATGTATGACAAAAACCACTGCAATGATGTAAAGTAATTAGCCTCCAACTAATAAAAATAAATGAAAAATAAAAAATTTTAAAAAAAATCTAAAAAAAAATATATATCTATAATCCTTGTCTCTAGATTTTTCCTTCATTATTATTATTTCCGTACAGACTGACGTTTATCTACAGGTTGACATTTCTAATACCTAGTAGTGGTATTAGGAATTTCCACAAGACACTTAAAGCTCTCTTATGCATTTAATTAGAAGTGCTATTTTAATTTTATAAATACAATTTCATCATTTTTCTTGTATCCTCATCATAAATAATAAATCTCTGCATTTATTTTTCAGTATGTCAAAGATAATGAGCATGGACTTTTAGCTTATAAAGTGTGCTAGGCATTTCCTCTGAACTACTGCTGCTGGCTTTGTTACATAAATAATTTTTAACTGATTAAAATTTCTGGCTAATCTTTTTTTTTTTTTTAATTTGGCTTCTTTCTGTTATCTTGCCAAACAATCTTATTGGACAAGTTAATATTTCAAAAGTGCTGGGATCAAATTGAAGTCTGAGAGTTCTTGGGTGGAAAATTGAACAAGTTGAAAGCTCAAGGGAATGCAGCTTAGATATATTTTGAGATTTAGAAGTATGTAAAAGATGTAGAAATGAAAATAGAGATAGAGCTTGCTTTAAAAATACAAGCCTAAAAAGCGCTAGGCTTAATGGCATTGCTAACGTATTGCCAGGGAAAACCATTTTGAACATTGACATCATCACAAACCCTAATAATAAATTAGAAATTTAAAAAGAAACTGTATTAGTATCAACCATTGGGACTTCCATGGTCATCTCCCCCAGATTATTTATTTCATGCTGATTTGTCCCTTTGGTGTCTCTTTAATTCCAGTTTCCTGTAGTCACTCATATGAACATGTTATTTTTCATTAGCAGTTAGTTGGGGCAGTCTCTTAATTTGTTCTTATTATTCAGTGTGCTACTCCTGAGTCCAGATCACAGTTAATGAGACAGAGAGGACACCTGGCTGTCTTGCTTGCATTGCTGCAACTTCTATGTTGTTAGTTGGCTGTTGTCAGCTTGTATCAAGATACTGAATGCCTATTGCTCAAACACTGGTGTGAGGTTAATGGCCTTCCACTGATTTCTTCCCTCCTGCCTCTAAGTGTCATCAGAGGTCATTAATTGCTGATTCTGGGGGAGAATGGATGTGATACCAACACTGGCTCAGTGTGATGTCCTGTAATTAAGAGTCTAAAACTTGAATGCTTTATTTTAAATATTATAACACTGGCTAGAAACAGTGCTATAATAGCCCTCTAATACTGACAGATTTTCTTGATCAGCTACAAAATTAAATACACAGTGAATATAGCCTTCAATCCCAAGAAGAATAAGAATTGTAAGCAGTGAAGCTATGTCTTGATTTCTTGGTATAAAGTAACTTGCCTTAATTTTACATAAAATACTAGCTTATTTTCCAAGGGCAAACCTCAAGCTGAAATGAGAGACTGAAAGGGAGGTGGAGACTGCGGACAGCAGGCTGGGGATGAGGAATAATGACAGAGATAGGGCCATGGTAGTCTTTAAAGTTGATAGCAAAGACTTGAGGTGAATCATGGAAGCTAACGAAAAACAAAACGAAGCAGCATGACCATTGTGGAGACTGTGTGTATGGCCTTGGCATACTTACTTGGTGATAAAAAGAGGCAGGTGTAAACAATAGAACAATAGGAATTTCGTTGCTAAATCCTGGACGCTATTCCTGTTATTTATATGGCTTTTTTATGATGCAGTGTGATCATTCATATTTGTAGTTCTGTCACGAAGTAATTAGGAGTGTTCATTCTGATCTACATGTCTACATGTAAAATACATGTGAAATTCAATTTTGAGAGGCCTTTTAAGTCAAACTTTTGTTGCCTATGCATTTAAGTCTCCACAGTTGTTGTTAGTGATGTCACAGCAATGAAGCTTGATAAAAGGTGGTATTTCATTAAGAACTCGAGAATTATCTTAAACTTCATTTGTGGTTTAATCTAATATTTTGACATAAATGTATATTCTCTCTATATATAGTGACTTTTAAAATCATTCATAGATGGTTGAACTGAGTGTTTTAACTTATAAAAACCTTTAAAATACAAGTGAAAATTTGCATTTTAAATTTCTGTTCCAAATTCAAAGTATCCTAGAGTACTCTAGAAGGTTTACCTGTCACTTCTAATACCACACTATATTAATAAATTGTTTATTATTACCCTTACCTTTATACTGACTTCTATTAACTTGAATTTTAATATGTTTGCTCTCAGATATATACAAGAAAAACAAATATTTACAGTTTATATTTGCCACTTTATTTAAACTTAAATTATTTAAATGTATTCATTTCATGATGCCTTATGTATAAATTGCTTTTTTACTTTACTTTTTATTTATTCCTTTGTGAATTATGATTCTTATTTTATAATTTTGACCTTTTAGCTTCCTTTACTGTGTATACTTGACCTTTCTTTATCTACTTTCACTTGCTTTAGCTGTCAGTTTACAAAAGGTAAGCCAGAGGAATTCTGACTTCTCTTTACAAAAATTTTCTTGGTGTACTGCTTCCCCGGAGGCTCAGATGGTAAAGAATCTGCCTGCAAGGTGGGAGATCCGGGTTCGATCCCTGCGTCCGGAAGATCCCTTGGTTCAGAAGGCAAAGGAAACCAACTGCAGTATTCTTACCTGGAGAATTCCATGGACAGAGGAGTCTGGTGCATTGCAGTCCGTGGCGTTGCAAAGATTTGGACACGACTGATCCACTTATACTTTCTTTTTCCCTGTTTTGAAAAGTTTGGGTTACTAGTTTGTTGGGGAATCAATTAGCTTTTGTAGATTGAAGTAGGAATCTAGAATATTTTCTAGACTTTATGCAGTGGTTCAGTGGGAGAAACGTTCTTGGTAGAATCTTTCTGTTTTGATTGGTTCTTTCATTTTAACGTGTAGTAAGTAGCATTATGAAGATAGTTCAGATAATCAGTACATGGATATCTTTTCTTTTTTTTCAGGCCAAAAAGTATGTTTTGCTGATTTCAAGCATCTCTGCTACAAGATGGCCTACTTCCACGAGCTGTCCAGCCGCGTGAGCTTTCAGGAGGCACGGCTGGCTTGTGAGAGCGAAGGGGGAGCCCTTCTGAGCCTGGAGAATGAAGCAGAACAGAAGTTAATAGAAAGCATGTTGCAGAACCTGACAAAGCCAGGAATAGGAATTTCCGATAGTGATTTCTGGATAGGGCTTTGGAGAAATGGCCAGGGGCAAACATCTGGTGCCTGCCCAGATCTCTACCAGTGGTTGGATGGAAGTAGTTCCCAGTACCGGTGAGCGGGGATCCTCAGAAGGCAGAGGTCTCTGGGGGGACTCAGAGGGCAAAGACTGGGGAGAGATGTCCGTTACCCATAGAGGATGTCAGAGTAGAACAGGCGAAGTCCCTGAGAAGCGTCCCTGGTCCTCTGTCCTTGCAGAAACTGGTACACTGATGAGCCTTCCTGTGGAAGTGAGAAGTGTGTTGTGATGTATCATCAGCCAACGGCCAACCCTGGCCTTGGGGGCCCCTACCTTTACCAGTGGAATGACGACAGGTGCAACATGAAGCACAATTACATCTGCAAGTATGAACCAGGTAGGAAGCACTGTAAGCCAGGAGGAGCAGACTGTATATGTGTATTGGCTTATATTGTTGCATCTTTAACCTTTGCTACCTGGGCTTTTTTGGTTTTTCTGCAGTGAAACACAAAATTACTTTGCAGTTCGATGACAGAGTATTGAAGCACACTAATCTATAAAGCAAACAACTGCTCAGTGAGTTAAATAGAAGGGAGTATCTAGAAATATCCAGGGAGGTGTCTTTAAGAGACAGTAATTATTTCTAATATTAAGGCCAAATTGTGTTTTTGTAAACAGGTTTTATGAAGAGTAAATATCTATTTACAAACATTTAAGCATTTAGTATAATGTGTGTAAAGTAGGTGTGTCATCAAAGCACCTATGAGTTTACACATGTAGTAGCTTTTTTAGAAGATTTTCTGGTCTATTTAAGGGAACCGAGCACCATTCCTCTGGGATATTAACTTATCCTGTAATGGCATGATATTTGGTTTCTATTCCTCAGTGAAAATCAGAATGTCAGAGAACCCTGGTGCAGAAAAGTCGTAGCGTGTGCCATAATCTTGCTGTGGTCCTCAGTCTGTGGAATATGCCCCCTCAGTTTCCTCCTGTTGGAAGTCTCCAACTTTCTTACCCCATACAGCACATGCAGAGGTTGCTCTGACCTGAGCTATGGTAGTGTAGTTTCCTACTGAAATGGTAAACTTGAATTACTTTGAATAGGACAGCTGAGTTGAATTGAAATTTGACCAAAAGAGAGACTAATCAGAACTTTGTAATCTCATCTTTTTAATGATCTAAGAAAGTCAACTTAGACACTCAGGCTTTGAGGTCTTTGTGCTGTTTTTATCCTCTCAGTGATTGGAAGTTTCATTTGAACTCTTCCATGGGCTGTCTGCCTGACCTCAAAGCATATGTTCATGGTAGGCAATTATAATCAAGTACTGCTATTTCCATTATTCTCTTGAAATTATACTTCTTTACTCATAAGACTGTAAAGCACAAGGGATTACTTGGATTAGCTTTACCCTTCTCTTATATTTATTCTGCTCTTGAGTATATTAGCCTTCTTTCTTTATCCCTGGTGAGTTTATTCTTTAAACCTCTTGGTGGTTAAATCCATCATTACCCTCTTAGAAGCCTTTGCAAAATGAAATCTGTTTTGCACTTAGGTTCTTTGTCTAGATTTTTTTCCTTAGAAATTTATAAAGTTAAAATTCTCTGACATTTTAACTTTGTGACACTAAGTGCTTGAAACTGTTAAATGAAACAAAGTATATTATGGTATGTTTTTAATACAATATGATCTTTTCCTTTCTTTGAACTTTTAGTTGACCCTTGTATACTATTTTATCTTGCATCACACTTACCACTTTATTCAGGACACTATTACCTCTGAATCTTGTTTTGTATTAGGTAGTCTAAGTTTATACTACTTATGGAACAGCATTTTAGACATAAAGTTATTTTTTTCTTTATCTTCTATATTCTACCTAAATCTTCAAATATGTATAGCTTTTGAGCAAGACTATTTTATGTACTTATTGTTTTTGAAGCACTTGAACACTTCCATGGTTGGTCTTATTAATGTACTTAGAATTTCTGTACTTTATTTTGTTTTATTTTCATTTTATTTACCTTATATATAACTGATGGAGAGGGCATTCCCAGTGGCTCAGCGGTAGAGAAGGGTATGGCAACCCCCTCCAGTATTCTTGCCTGGAGAATCCCATGGACGGAGGAGCCTGGCGGGCTACAGTACACAGGGTTGCAAAGAGTTGGACACGACTTCACTTTTACTTTCACTTTCAGTTAGCTTTTTAGTGGTGTGGGGATTGGAGGAGCAAGTAGTAAAACTAATCTACAAATTTTAACAATACTTTGAACTTTATTCTCCAACTATACCATAAGTACTATGTGACTTGAACTTAGTCTCCTCTTTCTGCTCCTGCATATTATCTAATAGCATGACTTGTTTGGTTGCTAAGTCATGTCTGACTCTTCGTGACCCCATGGACTGCAGCATGCCAGGCTTCCTTGTCCTTCACTATCTCTAAGTTTGCTCAAACTCATGTCCATTGAGTTGATGATGCCATCCAACCATCTCATCATCTGTCACCCCCTTCTCCTTTTGCCTACAATCTTTTCCAGCATCAGGGTCTTTTCCAGTGAGTCAGCTCTTCATATCAGTTGGTTGAAGTATTGAAGCTTCATCTTTAGCATCAGTCCTTCCAATGAATATTCAGGACTGATTTCCTTTAGGATTAACTGATTTGATCTCCTTACAGTCCAAGGAACTCTCAAGAGTCCTCTCCAGCACCACAAGAGCATGACTACTGATATACAAAAGTGGTTAAAAAAAAAAAATTAGCCTAGTTATGCGGAAACTGAATAATTCACTTCTAAATTTTCTCACTTTCTTCTCCAACATTTTTTGTTATTGTCTTGCAAGTTGCATATTTATTCTTTGGGTCTATCACTGTTATCCAGAGACATTATTAAGGGGATGCTTCTGAATCCAATTTTTCAGTTTGGTTCAGTGGCTCAGTTGTGTCCCACTCTTTGCAACCCTGTGGACTACAGCATGCCAGGTCTCCCTGTCCATCACCAACTCCTGGAGCTTGCTCAAACTCATGTCCATCGAGTCAGTGAGGTCATCCAACCATCTCATCCTCTGTCATCACCTTCTCCTCCTGCCTTCAATGTTTCCCAGCATCAGGGTCTTTTCCAGTGAGTCAATTCTTCGCATCCAGGGGCCAAAGTATTGGAGTTTCAGCTTCAGCATCAGTCCTTCCAATGAATATTCAGGACTGATTCCTTTAGAATTGACAGGCTTGATCTCCTTGCAGTCCAGGAGACTCTCAAGAGTCTTCTCCAACACCACAGTTCAAAAGCATCAATTCTTCAGTGCTCAGCTTTCTTTATAGTCCAACTCTCACATTCATACATGACTACTGGAAAAATCATAGCTTTGACTAGATGGACCTTTGTTGGCAAATTAATGTCTCTGCTTTTTAATATGCTGTCTAGTTTGGCCATAGCTTTTTTCCCAAGGAGCAAGCATCTTGTAATTTCATTGCTGCAATCACCATGTGCAGTGATTTTGGAGCCCCAAAATAAAGTCTCTCACTGTTTCCACTGTTTCCCCATCTATTTGCCATGCGGTGATGGGACTGAATGCCATGATCTTAGTTTTCTGAATGTTGAATCCAATTTTTATATTTATTAAAATTACATTAAGCACTGTTATTCTTAGACAATAAAAATGGTATGTATGAGATTGTATTTCTAAAATTTTGTCACTTAATCAGATATTACATTAAAACTTTTGAACTATTTTAAACATAACCAGTTCTATATTGATAAATTGCATAATATATGTATTATTTGTTCAGCAAATACCAGTTTAGCACCAGAAGCAAGGAGTGCCTAAATTCTGTAGAAGAATAAGTGTAGGGTAGGACTGAAGGCTAAAGGAGGCAAAGTGTCAGGGCAAGATATGTTTAAAAGAATAGTAAATATTATTATAGGATGGTGTATGATTAAGTTTCTAATGAATAGAGACTATGTGGCCAAATTAGAATAGTAAACATTACAGTGAAATGATTTAATATTCTGAAACTAATGTAAGATGCTGAATGTGTTTTTTCTTTTCCATTAATTGAGAAAAATAAACAGAGTTATATTTTTGGAACAAATGAAAGCAAATGTACAGGTTATTTCTTAGTAATTCTATTTAATTTCTCTAAACTATTAATTCAACCACTGCTTGTGCTAAGTTGCTCAATCATGTCTGACTCTTTGCAACCCCATGGACTGTAGCCCACCAGGCTCCTCTGTTCATGGGGATTCTCCAAGCAAGAATACTGGAGTGGGTTCCCATACTCAATTCAGGGACTGAACTCAGGTCTCCTGCATTGCAGGTGGATTCTTTACAATAGTGCCCTAGAAAAAGATATTAGACAAGAGGGTAGTACCAGATCATTATAAAAAAAAAAATCAGTATTTTTCAAGTGTGTGGCAATTGAAAAAATCTTGCCTCAGAAAAACCAGGGAAAGAAACAATTTGCAAGCCTTAATTTATGATAATTTTTTTAAAAGATGTAGATACTGTTGAGAAGGAAATCTAAGGATGGCATTGTTTATAGGGGACAGAAATGTGCTTTAGAACATTTTTATTTGAATCATCAATTCTGGGTACTGCCCACATGCAGTTAACTGCTGTTTTTTGTTGTGAGGAGAAATCTAAATTATACATGATAATAGTATAGAAGACTTCCCTGGTGGCTCAGTGGTAAAGAATCCACCTGCCAGGCCCAGGGTCAGGAAGATGCCCTGGAGAAGGAAATGGCAGCCCACTCCAGTATTCTCGCTGGTGAAGTCCCACGGACAGAGGAGCCTGGCAGGCTTATAGTCCATGAGGTTGCAAAAGAGTCAGATGTGACTTAACGACTAAACAACAGTTGTGTAGAAATCATCTTTGTTGGTGTTTCTTCACAGCTGGTGCCTCACTTTCTTATGCTCACTGATTCTTGCTATCTTTGCCTACTTTTGTACCTCCTTTCTCATTATTACCTGTAATAGGTTATCATCAGCGCAGACACTCTGGATTGTTAAATGCAGTCTGGGGTTACAGGAATTCACCCAGTGGATCCAAGTTGCAAAGAGTTACCAGGCAGATCTTTTATTCAGAGACAATTAAATGCTGCCTTTATTGTTAAATCATTTCATATAAATTTAAATTCAAAATAGAATTAGCTGGAAGTTGTTCAGAAATCAATGTTTATTTTGTTTCGGATTAAGCTTTTCTTTTCATCTACATTTGCATTTGTCTTATTTATCATTACACATGATAACTGTACTTATTATTTACAGAGATTAATCCAACAGCTCCTGTAGAAAAGACATATTTTACCAACCAACCTGGAGACACTCATCAAAATGTCGTTGTTACCGAGGCAGGTAATTAGTTTATATGTCTTTAACTCACCTATTAAGAGAAGAAAATGTACTTACAGTGTTGTGTTGGTTTCTGTTGTACAACAATGTGAATCCACTGAGTGTGTATATATATACCCTCCCTCTTGAGTTCCCTCTTGAGATCATCACAGATCACTGAGCTGAGTTCCCCACGCAACACAACAGCTTCTCACGAGCTATGTATTTTATACATGGTAGTGAATATATGTCAATGTTACTCTCTCAATTCACTTTTGCTTCATGTTGGCCCCAGTTTTCTTGTTGCTTGGTGAAAAATTGCACTAAACAAAGGTCTATGGAAATTTATTTTAGAATGGCTTTGGAACAAATGATGCTAAGCTAGTTTTTGTGCATTTTTTTTTTTTTTGGCTGCACAGTGTGGACTGTGAGATCTTAGTTCCCCAACCAGAGATCGAACCCACGCCCCCTTCAGTGGAAGCACAGAGTCCTAACCATTGGACATCCAGGGAAGTCCCTTAAGCTAGTTTTTGAATAGAAATGGTGTTTTCTGTATCTAGTACTAAACTAAGTATCCCATGTTAAAATGTGGATTCATAAGGATCTTCCCCAGTTTGTAGGTATTATGATGTAAATCAGCACGTTCAGTAGCCTGTAAGGAGTAGGGAACTGGTAAATGTTCAGGGATTGATTGGCGTAAGCTGGGATTTAAAAAGTCCAATTTGTGGGCTTTGAGTTTTCTGAGGTACATATGGAAAACCGCCACCCTGGCCAATTTCAGGCTACCAAGTGACATGACGAAATAGCAGATTGGGTAGCAGACACATACAATGAGCTTTCAACCCAGTGCCTATGGCACACCACTGTCTGCAAAAGAGACAAAACCCAATCCCAATGCAAATCTCTTTGTAGTCAAAAACTGCTCTTAGTATCTGCTAGGGCCTGTTACAGCTTGGTGCAGTTGGTAAAGAATCCACCTCTCAGTGCAGGAGACACAGGAGATGTGGGTTCGATCCCTGGGTTGGGGAGATCCCTGGCAGAGGAAATGGCAACCCACTCCAGTATACTTGCCTGGAAAATTCCATGGAGAGAGGAGCCTGGTGGACTGAAATTCATGGGGTTGCAAAGAGTCAGACATGACTGCGTGACGGAGCACACACGCATTTAGACTAAGATAATGGCTTTCAATTTGCTATCTCAATACATAGCTTTCTAATTTGCTTTTCTTGTATGGATGTGATATTAAACCTTAGTGCTTTTCACTTTCAGTTGTCTGATTTTAAAACCATTCAGACCATGTAAATCTAATCAAACAGATCAGTAAATAATTATATTAGGAATATTTTCCCTCTTATGACATTGAAAAATTGTTTAATAAAGTCATTGCAAGCTATATGGGGGTTCTGTGTGGCAGTTTTTTATTTTTCCAAGAATACCTAACATTATCTAGTGTGATGGAACAGGATTAAAAAAAAATGATTCATCTTAGAATTTAATTAAGATCAAATATTTATGCCTCTGGAGTCTTATGTCTCTAGGTTATGACTCTATCATCAGTTAATATTTACGTATTTTGGCTTAATCCCAGAGAGTTATGCATGTCATCATGGCACTGAGCTTATTAGTTAGGATAATTACATATCCAATAAATCAACAATTACTTTAATCATGATTATTCTTTAATAATCAGTGCTTATTTTCAAAGTAATAACTGAGAGGGATTAATGAAGTGAGATAGCTAAGGTTATTAATATGTTATGAAAGCCAGTCCCTATCTGAATTGCAAATTTAATAATAGTTTTGGAAATATGGACATTTAACTGGAACATGGCAACCATGCAGCATGATTTTGTTTTTAACTTCTAACCAAACATAAATATGTTACTTCATTAGATTATTCAGTATTTTGGGAAGACCTTACTTGGTATCTGCTTATTGAAAATAATTCTATTTTGCCTTAATTTTTTGGAAAGCTTTTATAGAGCCATAATGTCAGAATCCTGCCTCAACTCTCTGTTTACATTAAGACTGTTTTACTTTTGTAGGAATAATTCCCAATCTAATCTATGTTGTTATACCAACCATCCCTTTGCTCTTACTGATCCTGGTTGCTTTTGGAACCTGCTGTTTCCAGATGCTGCATAAAAGGTAAAGAAATCATACATGGAAAGACAACTTGAAAAACTTTAAACACGTTTTCAGAACTCTTTAAAAATTATGCTGTAAGTTGCCTTAAGAAAATTGTGATTCTCATTCTTTCAGTATAAATGCAGTATATATAATCTAATAACATATACCTTGATTATCGGATTGTGAATTATCTCATTTCATCCTCACAGGCCATATGAAGTAGGTATCCTTCTGTTTTCTCTTTTCCAGTTGGGAAGATGGTTGCTTAAATGGGTCATACAGTTTGCCTTGGGTCTCATGGCTAATGTGTGTGATGGATCTGAAATGTGAATGTTTATAAGCCCACAACATATGCAACTATACTTTACTGTCTCTTTATATTAAGGACAAGTAGTAATGCTAAACCTCTTAATCTTGACCTCAAGTTGTATGCCAGACTTGATTTTTGTACATGAACTTTGTAGTACCTTTTGCAAAAACATCCTTCTGTTTTATTTCCAAAGGATATTTTAAGTATAGAAACAATGGTAAAATGAGTCACTTTCTAGTAGGCATCTTAAAATAAAGTGATATATCTTAACATCAAGATTCTTGAGAGTATTCTTTTATATCTGCTTACTTATACCCTTGAATTACAGGTGAAATTTTTCATAGGTGTCAGTTTGACAGTTAAACTAAAACATTAATATGTGAAATATGAGTATGTATCAAAGAAAAGAAGATGTGGGTTTAAATTAGTACATGCTTATTAGAATAAACTAGACATTTTTTGTCAGTGTTTTAAATAAAAAAATGATAGAATGTTTCCAACAGGGAAGGACATGCAGATAAGTAATTTTTTTTTAAACTTCATTTTCTTTTTCATGAACCCTAAAGCACTTACTGAGTTAAAAAGCTCCAGAAAAAAAAATTAAATAGATATAAACTCTAAATTGTGCATAAAAACTTTTTTTTAAAGAATCCAAACTGAGATCTATTGACTATTTAAAGAAGCCATTTTTGAATAATGATAAATAAAGCCTGGCAAATTAACACTGTAATTTGTGTACTCAGTTTATATATTTTCAATATATATTGAATATTTTTATATTTTATTTTCGATATTTTATAGAGAATAAAAACAATAGTAGATATCTGATTTTTACCTTTAATTCTAAGACTATAGATGAAAAGATAATTTATAACTATGCAAACAATGAAGCAGAGGGAGGATTTGATATAAATCCCTCCTAGAACCCAGCCAAACTATAATGAAGAGCTGTAAATAGCTAATCGCTGTGAACAAGGATTTGAGAAAAATTATGTAGATCTTCTTATTTCTAAAAGTAAAATTACCAAAGTGTCAGTAAGTGAGTTTTCTCTGAAGTTTGCTTTCCTTCTTCCAAAATAGTGTATTATTGTGGAGACTCTGCTCATTCTCAAGTTTTCCAGGTTTTTATACTTTGAAGTCCTTGGAGTTTTCACATGTTGGAAATTCATAAGGGTGAGGAAATAATACTTACTCAAACGTATTTCTCAGAGTGAGAAAATATACTCACTCAAACATAAGCCATCTCCAGACACCAGAATTAGCTATTAGTGCTTAATTCATTCTCTCTTAGATCCTCTCATTTTCCTTTCTTCCAGGAAAGCAAGGACAAACTTCATCAAAGACTCCAATCCATTGTCATCTGAGTGCCTTGCAAAAGTTTAAATTCCAGTTGGGTACACATGAGGGCTTCTGTCATTCCATGTCATGTTCAAAATAAGAAGCCTTATTTCGTTAACCCATGGTAACTCTTAGATCACATAAATACTAATGCTACCCCAAAGCCACATTAATAACTTAACCGCCCTTTTGTTTTAACTATTTAGGAGAATTTCTTGTTTTTCATCAACTTTGCTTGGCTTATTTTCCATTCATGTAAGATAACTTCCTAGGTAGAGATGTGTTGATCTTACTTAATTGGATGCACATCTCCAAAATGTATCATTTAGATACAATCATGTGTTAGCAATAAATTTACAGTTAAATTGAAGTCAATCAAGTAATATTATGAAATTCCATGGCTCAGGCTTGTTAAACAGAAACACTCTTTCTTTGAAGGAATTCAGCAGCGCAGTGTCTCGTAGACAGAGACTGAATGGGATGGGGTAGGAGGAATGATGCCTGGGGCGTGGGGTGGAGGCAGATGCTACTGAAGGAAGCGTCTGTAGGAGCAAGGAAGTACAGAAGAAATAACAGGGACCACCAGGGTTAGTTATCTAGGTGAGGGCTCATTCCCAGGAAACTGGGTCAAAAAGAGCCTCGATCTTGATAAGTATCTTGGAGAGGCTGACTTCTCTTCAACTCAGGAAGAGAGAAACTCAGGAACAGTCACTTTTGCAGGAGTCTTAGAAGTGGCCACTTTATAGAAAAACTTAGAAGACATCCCCGGAAGAAGGGAATGGCTACCCACTCCAGGATTCTTGTCTGGGGAACTCCATGGACAGAGCAGCCTGGTGGGCTGCATTCCATGGGGCTGCATAGAGTCGGCTATGACTGAATAACACTTTCACTTTTCACCTTAGAAGACATCACAGCTTGAGGGACAGGGTGGAGGGCAGGTCAGCCTGAGAGCTAGAGGAACTCTCTCAGGCCTGAATCTGCATTGAATTGCCTTTGTTTCAGAAACTATAGCAAAGTTAACCTTTGGGGAATTAAAAGACTTAACTATAGGACAGAAAAAAAGTGATGGGTGGAGGGGATAAGACAGTTTTTATATGTAGGACAAAAGCACTGTTTTGATGATTTGCCATTAATGTACATCCTATGTGAATGGCAGATTATTCAAAAAGCAAAATTAGAAAAATAATTGATCAAAGAAAATGAAGATTCATTGGTGGTTACAATAAACATTTTGAAACTGGGTTAAACATATTTGTGTATGTGTCTGAATTCTAAAATATGAAGGGTCAGAGAGAGATTTTTTTTTCATTATCTTATATGAACTGCTTACCCTCTTCACATACTGGAATAATCCAGAATTTTTTGTAGGAATGAAAAAATCTGATGAGAGAAGAAAGATACTTTTATAAGAAGTCTGACGAAGCTCCATTTGGACCAGGACATGCCTAGTGTGATGAGAAGTCTCAGACATTGAATTTGTTTCTTCTGTTTTTCAGTAAAGGAAGAACCAAAACGAGCCCAAACCAGTCCACACTGTGGATTTCAAAAAGCGCCAGGAAAGAAAGCGGCATGGAAGTCTAGTAACCCATTGACCTGGCTCCAGAAAAGAAAACAGAGTTTTATAATTCTGTATCTGTATAAGGAATGGCATCAGAACATTAGCTTGGAATGGCTTGAAATCTCAAAGGATGTGCAAGATGAACTGTAAGCTCCCCCTTGAGGCAAATACTAAAATAATTTTTATATGTTCATTATCTCATTTATAAAATAATGCTGTGCTAATCATGGAGTGAGACATGCTTATTTTGCTAAAGGATGCACCCAAACTTCAAGTCAATGGGATGGATAAGATGCAGATAAAATGGCTGTGAACACATCAGAACAATGTGTGCACTGGAAGCCATTATCTTTGTCTCTTTCACCTTTCATAAGTTGTAATCTAGTTAATGTAATGTAAATTGCATTGAAATTTACAGTGTGCAAAATATTTTTCCTTTACATGAGTGTTTGATAGAATGGACTGTACTAGTATTTATTTTTATGATGTCTCATTTTTCAATACATGCTGTTTTGATTAAAGAAATGTATTGCTGTTGTCAACTGAATTCACACCTACATACATCTATTACTGTAGAAAAAAATTTCATTTTCTAGAAATGGCTCATCTTCTTTTAGTTTCTCTGCTTTGGGTCAGAGGAAGTTTAGGAAATGTCTTCAGAAATAAGAAGTTATTTCATTAACCGTGGTATCTACTCAAATATTTTACTTAGAGGCAAGAATTGTCTAATTTCAATTGTGCAAGACATGTGCCTTACAATTATTTTGAATTTAAAGTGCAACAGATTTTGTAATAACTTTGTTAAATAGCTGTATAAACACTAATATACTCAATCTAGAACAAAAAATGGTGGCATACACAATCAAGATAATGTCCTCACATGTTGCCTATATAACCACAAGTAGCTCTCCGAGGGTTCTGAAATCAGTCCCTCTCTTGCTAGCAAAGCAAAGATGGTTCTGGTGTTGACTCTGGAGGCAAACTCCTGCAGAGTTTGGTTAAGATCTTTCCTGGCTCTGTTTAGCCTCTATCAGCGTATAAGGGGGTTTAAGAGTTGGGACTAGTTGAGTGGTTACCATGAGTGTGGAGTTAAGCACAGCACGTTGACATTTCCACGAGGAAAGAAACTGAAATAGTGTAAAAATGTGTTTGTAGGCGTCAGTGATCATGTGTTCCCTGTCAGGTTTTGGCTGGGAGAATAAATTGGAGCAGCTCTGTACTATCTTCTAGTTTCTTCAATGCCTGTGGCTCCTTCCTCTCAAGAGAGAGATGTAACTATCTGGTCTTCAAATGTCTCTGTGCTCCTTTTAACCAAATAAAAAGTTCTTGTTTCTGAAGAATGATCATTGGTGCTGTCTAAATCTCTTACATGAACAAAGTACAGATGTGTTTGCAATAATGCATGGAAACAAATGACTGTTCAAGTGTGGTAAGAATGGAAGTTACAGTTGCAGGGTGTTCTAAACCTCATCTTTTCAATTAGATAATGAAAGTGCTTTCATTGTGGGAATTCACAACTCCAGTTGGTTGGTAAAATTAAGAGATAAAATAGAAATTAGTGGGCAGTGGTCCGTTTTCAGCTGCTTAGAGACTGAGGAAATGGGCAGCTGCCTTCTAAACTTACAGCTGCTCACATTTAACACTCCTCTTTCCTTTCTTGGAGACCCATCTTTCTGGGCAGAATAGGAGACCAGCTGCTGAGACCCACCTCTTTCCTCCAAGCTCCCACCATGCATTACTTCTTTCAGTCTGGACTGGATGGAGGGAGACCTGGGCTTTCCCCAATGTCTGTGCCACCCACAGCTGCAGCAGCTGCAGGGAGGGAGAGGCAAAGCAATGGGGAAGGGACTTGGTTTTGCTTTTTATCTTGTTCCAGACCTGGATTACTCGTCTGGTATCAATTACTAAACCCATAAGTTCCTAGGGATGGGATAAGGAACTTCTCTCTTAATAGAAGATGGTAAAGAGTGACTGTCCTAAGGGTTTCAAAAGCTGACCTTTGAAAAATAAAAAGGAGTCTGTGGTATATCTGTTGTAATTTTCAGAACATTGAAATGCAGGTGAAACATTTGTGGAACAATATTTGGGGAATAAAATCAAATAACACCCTCTACCCTTGATGTGCCATCCTTTCTAATCACTTCATCCTTTCTATTAGGAGCAGGTCATTGGAAAGGTCTTAAAAAGAATAGTGTGTTCAAGGACTCCCAATTTTTGTTCTAATAATAAATTCCATGAATTTGTAGTCCGCAATCATCTGGCCATATCTTCTTCTTGTGACACTGTTTTCCCTTTCTCTGACAATTGCCCAGAGAGAACTCCTTTTGCTAGGATAGTTCATGATTGTCTACTGTCCCTTCTCTCTGAACTTTCAGGGTCACTCCCACCTACATGGTGGTCCCCACTGCCTTTTTAGTCCATCAGTAACAACTATGCACTCAGGTCTAGTCCACGCCTCCTTTCTCCCACAAAACTTGTATGAACTGATGGATCTCTTCTTTCAACTGCTTGAAACTTTTCTATTACTTTGGACCATGTAGACCCATGTAAGAATGTATGTGTGTGTGTGTGTGTGTGTGTGTGTGTGTGTATTAATTTGTATAATTTTTTTCTTTCTGAATAAATCAGTAGATTTTGTGGGGTGAGCTAAATTGAAGTTTGTACTTTGGAAGTGATCCAAGAGATTAAAGCTGCAGAACAAATTCATTTATTCTACATTTTTGGCCTTGTAATGGGCAATTCAGCTGTGTCTAAATAAGCTTTGGCCATGTTAGAAATACCCACAATAAACACATCTGTCAGAGAAAACCCACGTTTGTAATACTTGTATCTCTTTGATATGACTGATAACTTTTTGGAAACCCAGAAAAATGCCAGCTTGAAATAAATGGACTGTGGTATAATAATCCAAGTAAAAATGATCTGATGAGAGAATGACAATGTTAATTAGTTTAGCTTTTATTTTGATGCAAGGGCAATATATAGATTTGTGCTAGTTTGCTGTTTAACTAGCTTATTTGAGAGGATTGTACAACCAGTTTAGTCCAGGCTTGTGACATGAGCTTACAATAAATATATTTTATTATGGGGAAAATATTAGGGATGTGCTCAAGATGGATTGAAAATGCATTTAGATAGAAAAACAGCAAGATGATTGAGATGCTGATAATAGTGACCTATCCTGGAATTAGATAACTTAAAGCAATCTATTTCAAATAATACCATACTTTGTGTAAAAGTTTATTTCCCTTCTCTTCCTAATTTTGCTCAAACATTATATTACATGCTTTAAAATAACATTTCTTTAAATAAGAGAGTATGATAAAAATAATGATTAAGAACAAAGGAAATAATGATGTCTGTGAAAGAATAACTGCTTACAATAAAATCAGAATTTATTATTTTATAGTTACTTTGTATTGTAAAGATTAGCTTTTGCTTTTTTTTATTTTTCCTGTAGCATTTCAGTGGCTTAGGTAAGAATCAAGACTTTTATAAATGATTTTTAAAAAAACTCTCAATTTCCATGCTTCTTAAAGTGAAATGGGAAAACTGGCTGCTTTTCATCTTTGCTCTTGGAAACACTCTAATGTAGAAAACTTTGTATCCACTCTGTGAACCTTGGGACCCGGGCGTACACCCCGGGGCGATTGGGCAGTGCGCACTGGTATCCAAATGATGTCACGCCAGCCAGGAACCATCTGTTGTTTTCTTGGCACATGAGTGGTCCGCCTGAATCCCCCTGAAGAGTAAATTGCCAAAGAAAATCATCGATGTGTGGTCAATCGGTATAAATATGTATATAATAATTTAGCAAATAAATCCAAAACTGAAGATCAAAAATATGGTTTCATTGCAAGTCATCTATGAACAGTCTCATTGTCACACTAGATCAAGAATGAGAACCTTTAGCTGGTCAGTAAGGACACAGAAACTATGACAACTAAAACAAAATTTGTGTGTAATTTTTTATGATTCACTTTTATAGCAAGAATTCCCTTACTGTAATTATGGCATTTTAATGGGTACCAAGAAACTTCCTGGGAAATCCCATGGACAGAGGAGCCTGGTGGGCTACATTCCATGGGGTCTCAAACAATTAGACATGACTTAGGGACTAAACAACAGGGAAACTTTCTAAGGCACAACTCTGAGAGCATCCCAATCAAAATATATGTTAAAAGTGAATCTTTTTAATAAGGGAGATATTAATTTATCCTAAGTATTATGAGGGACTTTGTGGAAAGACAGTTATTCCACATTATGTGCTTTAGGATGACTAAGAACCGACACATAAAATTGATTTTAGTTCTCTTGAGTAGCATTACCTTTTCTGGTATTAGACAAGCACAATCAGATTTGAAAAAATAATATTTCAATGGAAATAGGCACACATAATTTCTTGTGACAGGTACACATGTTTTTATCTGAGATTTTAATTGAAATGTCTATAATTTTTATAAATATTAATTACAGCAACTCCTAGTTAGTTACATAGTTTATTTACATATGATTGTTCCTGTGTAATGCAAAGGAATATAATGCAAATGTATAGTACCATTATTTAATGACAGAGAATTGACAAATATTTTCCCACATTAATGGTGAAACCTATTTTAATTAGTCTTTCCTTTTTTATATTTATGAAGGAACGTAAAGCCCTGTATACTCTGGTTGAAATCACTGGTACAATAGACTATTTCACACAAGCTTATTTAAAAAATTATCCTGACAGATTTTTTTGCCTGATTCTTGATTACCTTTGGAGCCTACATTTAAGGGGAAAAAATGTATTTAGAAAATCACCTTTTCTCTCCTGGGTGCAGAGGAGCATAAGTCATATTGCCAACCACTGGTTAACTTCTTTTCTAGATGTAAAAAATGCGCTCAAGTTGTTTGAAGGCAGAGCTTGTGATTTGATTAATACTTCTACATCCTCAACCCTAGTCCTTAATATAGGTTTAGAAATATTTATGGAACAGTGTCAATTCAAGATAAGAATAAATACTGACTCTAAGTGATA